GCAAACAGAGCAGCCAGTAGTACACCTCCGGAAATGGAGCCAACAATGACGGCGATAAGCTTTTCTTTTGACGCCCCATTATTAAGTTGTTCCCTGTACTCCATCGACGGCGTCACTGCGGGGAACAGCTCAGGCACTGCGGGGTCCAGCACGCGGGCCATAGACCACACCGAAATACGCCTCGCTCCGTAGTTCACAGCGCACTCAGCAGAGCTCATGTTATTCTGGCCACCGCACCGCGTTCCATCCTTGAAGGATCCGTAAAACATATCGGCCACAGCGATGGCAACATTCTTGTAGAAGAAATCAACCAATACCTCAGCACTCACCAGCTCCATACGAGAGAGAATGGTTTTTACCAGAATTGTACTGGCAAACGACCTCAGCGCCAAAGGCGTCCACTTCTTCGTATTCCACACAGCAGCGTGGAACCGTTGCACCGTCTCAGACGTGGTATTAGTGTCTGCCCAGTGCGGCAGGCTCGTCGCGAACACAAGGCGCCCAGCAGCAGCACTCCCATTGAACACAGCAACAAACTCATCGTACAACCACGAGACCTCCGCGAACAGCACAAGTACACGCACACCGCGGTTCTTCGCCAGGTGCTCTGCGATCACAGCAGCATCGGCAGCAGCAAGGCCCACGACGAACACATCGCCCTTGTGTGGCAGGTAGTCCCCCAGCGCGTCACCGCCAGCCAGCAGCGTGGAGGACAGCAGCGACCCTCCAAACGTCACAAGTGACCGCCGCAACACATCTGTCATCGCAGCACCCTCGTCACTGCGGATCACAGCGTGGGCGTTGGCGCGGCTTATCTTTCCGAGGTACTGCGCAAGCACAAAGAACTCCTGCTCCAGCGTCGGCGACAGGCATATAACGTGCCGGCGAAACTTGTTCATGCCTGGATGTAGCTCCTGTGGATCTATAAATACCACAGATTCGTCATCGAGCAGATCCTCTGTCACCACACCTCCTACGGCATGGATGCGCTTGCTCTCCTTCTCATCCTCCAGCGCTCTTTTTGCATCAGTTGTTGAAGTGTTAATCATCTGAAGACGAACATTGTGTGTATCCGTAAAGTTCAGCTGGATCTGCTCCGCAGCAAAAGCACCTGTCTTCATGCCAATCGTTGCCCTCACAGCATAGGCATCGTCAGTCATCAGAAGAGAAACTTCATTCAGTGGCGCATGAAGTCTGATACCGTCTGTGTAGCACACTGAGGAAGGAATCGTAAGTTCTCCGCTCAATATCTTCTCAGAGCGGTACCCCTCCACGAACCGCTTCATGTAGACCGTCCGCCCGCCCTGATTGCAGCGGCAGATGCCACCCTCTGAATAAGAAATAGCACTGCAATCATCACCGTAGTCACCGATCACAAGATCATCGATCAAATACCGGCGTTGGTT